TGCATAAAAGCAATGAATCTATTTTGGATTTTTGCATTTTTTACGTTGAATTTTTATTGGTAAATGTATTTTTAATATTTATAAAAATGTAAATATATGGGAGTGTTCTCTTATTCTACCTTTTATAAACAAATATTTTTTGCGTATACGATTTTAAATAATAATGATTTTAACATTTTAATATTAATATTAACATTTGAATTCTACAAAACTTTTTATTATTGACGCGCTTTAATAATCCCTACAGATACAGATTAACAATTTTCAATTCTTACGTTTATCTTAATGTCTCATGATATTTAAAGTTTAAGAAATTTATTGTTTCTTTGTATTTTATACATTCAATTTTTGTTGAAATATATATATATATATATATATATATATATATGTGTATTATTTTTAATATTTGCAAAAATACTAAATTAATTTTTATTTGTATTTGAATATTTGAATATTTGAACATTTTAATTTTAATTTTAATTTTAATTATTTCAATATTTGCAAAATAATAATTAACATTTGAACAAAATTTGTTTTATTATCGCGCTTGAATAATCAGATCCTATATTCAGATTAACGATTTTACATTCTTACTTCTTATCTTAATTTCTCGCAATATTTAAAACAATATTTATTTGAATATATCTGCTAATAATCTTGATATTTTGGTATTTATACCAAATACCCGTGGAATATTCCCGTGCTGTTTGAGAATACTATTTGAGTGAGCATCGATAGTGCGTTCGTCGCTAGCGACGATACTTAAACGTTCCCTCGAATACGCGCCTGTACCTTATTCTCCTTATTCCGACTCGAGATCAGACACACCGTCTATTCATTATTTGAATAGACACCGTTGCAATTTATTTAGCCGATTATTCTCTTCGTTAATTATGCAGTTATGCGCCGCTGCACGAACGAGCCTGTCTGCCGCGCGTCTGTCGTAAAGAAAAACGCCGAGCGATTCGTAGCCTTGAAAATCTTTAACGGGGGACCAGGATGAAATTCCCCGCTAGCTGGCAGTCAGCTGTAAAAAGCGCGGCCGATACCGCTGTAAAGTGCGTACTGTAAACTACGACGTTTACGACGTAACGCGTCTTCCTTCGCGATGCTGACCACGATGTCTGCTTAACCTTCTGCGTGATTGCTCGCGCGCTTATCACGCTTATTATACACGTGTATTATACACATGCGAATGCGAATGTTGAAGTGTACAAGGCGATTCTACTATCGGGCAAAGTTCCTTCGAAACTTGTTTCTTGTTAATTAAGATCGGTCTTGGTAATTGGCCGGTGGAATAAAGTGAGATTCTACCAAGAGATGCGTTTTGATGATAAACTTAACAACTGTTATAAGACTGTCAGATAATAAGTATTAAACTCTGTCATTGTAAAACCATTAAGGAAAACGATTAATTTCCGAGCAAAAGCTCGGAATTGTCGAATTGATAAAGATATCCAGCCCAAATAGTTGGGCAGTTTCAGATTTGAATCCTGACTGAGATGATATTTTTCATGATAATTTCTCGTGGGAGAAAAGAAGATAGTATCGGTGTAGATCGGTATCGTGGTTATTTAAAATTTATTTCTGACTGTAATTTGTTACATTGCAAATCCGTTAAAAGTAATGGCACGTGATTGGCAGCATAAAGTGTTTATGTTGAATTTATATACAGGATGTTTCAAAAGTGAAATCGATCGGAAAGTGATTGCCTGAGAATCCAAAAACAAAAAAAGAAAAAAGAAAATTAGTATGGAACATAGATCTGGAAATGCATTGTTTTCGTCATTTTTGTGTTGAAATTTCAAATTGCTTTGCTTTCGAATTTTTTTTATTAAAATTGAAAGAAGGGACGGTTTTCATGAGTTTTTGTAATATGATTAAAGGCAAATAAAAGCTGCGGGCTGCTTTAACACTATCCAGGATATAGCCAGGATACAGCTTTGCTTAGCATCCTTCGGTAGAGAACAGAATCCCATAAAACTTGAAGACTATTTCTTTTTCCAGTTTTAACAAACAAATTCGAAAGCGAAGCAATTTGAAATTTTATCATAAAAATGGGGAACCTCGAAAAAAATGCATTTTCGAACCTATTTATTTATACCAATTTTTTTTCTTGTTTTTGGATCCCAATAACTTCCCTCTATCTTTGAAACTTCTTGTATATGAAAAAGAAGAAAAAAATTTTTAAGCATCCAAGATGTCGAGAACGCTTCATTGCATTCTTATTTGCTATAAATTTTCAGTCATACATTGTAAGCATTCTTTTGCTAAAATTGAGATATTTACTGCAAATGATCTCTCTTTTTTTTTCTTTTTTTTTTTTTTTTTTTTAAAGACGTTCGAAAAATTAGAGAGTTGTATGTGTACTTTCCACTTCAACTCTGTAGCATTTTGTATGTACTTTGCTTGGCAATTTAATCTATATGTTGTAGACTGTGCGAGACTATCGACTGGATTACTGGGAGGCTATTCTGATTGGCTTTAGAGTGAATATTAAGAGCATGTATGGAGCGAGATCGACTTGGCCCAATTTGTTAATAAGTTTGTGCGCGTAATTGAGCCGCGTCACGATAAGATAATTCGGTCATGTGAAAGTATCATCGTGGCTCTCAATAATGTAATTAGAAAGAAGTATCAAATATTGAATGCCAGTTTTGTGACGGTGATAGATTTTGATCCCAATGTTATTGATTCCTGGCGAAAGTTTGCTCGTTTATCATCGTTTTTATTGATACAGTACATTTAATATTTTTATTTGAACATGACATGTGTGAATGTGATAACTCTATTTTCAGATAAAGATATACTGGTCTATATAACTTGAATGTAATATTTATTTTGATTCTGTTTGGTTAATTGAATATTGACACAACGTATAAACTTGCGGAAAATTTTGATGTATAATTTTAAGATGTCTTATAAAGATGTTCTTATAAAGATGTTCTTATAAAGATGATCTTGTAAATTAGTGGAACAAAGTGAGCAGAATTAATTTTTTTTCTATGACAACTTTAATAATAAATGAGCAATGAGCAAACGAATGAAGATATTAATTAGAATTGATTTTGCTTACTTGTTCTGCTAATTTATAAGATGTAAGTTTGAAATACTTAGTACAAAGTAGTAATATTACTTGAATAAAATTAATAGTTTTTAATTTGTATTTTTAATATCTGCTTTTTTAATTTTATTTAGTCTATGTATTGTTGCAAAGAGTGGAAATTACACCGTCTAATATACAAATGTTGTGAAAATGATGTATTTTTAATTAACACGATTTATACTAATTAACATGATTAACACGATTGTTCTCATTTATATTTCACGAGTATAAAAACAATGGAATCAGTTACGAAATCTACTTCTAACGCAGCCTTACGCGTGTATTTGCACAGACAATTATTTATATATGTTATATAAATATTACAATATAAAGATATATCGAAATACATTACATGTATTTATTCCGTGATAAAATCTCGGCAGAGAAACTTCCTATTCTATCATACGGTGGCGGAAGTCGGCGTATTTTAAATGGCATGTGTGCGTCGTCTGGTCAATAGTCATTATCATATAAGAATGTGTGACGGTTTACTTTCCATGAGAAAATGGCACCG